AAGATTTTCTAGAAAGCTCTCAAAGATAGTCTGGATTTAGTACGAGCTTCTACCATCTCTACTAGGAAGACAGGACCTTGACAAGACAAACTACTATCAACAGAGAAAATACGCTGTTGATTCCAAAGCTGAGACAGTCACTCTGCACACAGAGGGTTGATATTTGCCTCTTTAGGATGCTCTTACTACTGGCCCCAAGGAGACCTGGCTTGTCCCGTGTGCCCATCCACAGTAAGGAAAGGCCAATTAAAGAGGTTTGGATTTCATCAGACACCAACAGTGTGGTTCTTACTTGGTAAACACACACAAAATTACCTCCCAGCTAAGAATTTAATCCTGCTCCCATGTGGTCTGTAAAGGCAGCAGTCTGTGAGCAAGCTGTTGGGGGATGATGGCTCATGGAACAGACAGACGGCAAGAAAACAAGTTCCCTATCATACCAGAGCCCACGCTGCCATCGTGACTCACAGTTGCTACTCGCTTCAGCTCTGTGATGACATTTCTGACAAAAAGGAGATGTCGATAGTGCTAAGATCAACGTTCATGAATATCTTTGAGTCTGGTCTCTCTTTTACACTTGTGCATTTGCATCTTTCACACATTACCCCTACAAAAAGTACCACTTATAGTATTTTCTATCATGACTCTTACCTGTTTCCTTTAAGTTCCAAAAGAGAATTTAGGGAGGAAATTTTTTCGAGACCTTGCGAATGTTTTAGGAAGAATCAGTGTGAGATAGTGATTTCATCTTAGCTTTAGGCTACAGGTAGGCTATAGATGTGGAATGCAGGAAAACAGGTCTGATATGTTTAGAGGCTTGAACATTTTTACAGCCTGAGGAAATCCAGAATGTCCCTGGAAAAGATGTGGTTGGTTGATTTTGTTTGGTTTTGATCTGCAAATTACAGAAAGCTCACCAGAAACTGTAACACATATTCCTGCAGAAAGCAAGCTTCTGCTTTTCTAATTATCCTCACGCTTCTCAATCGAGCTGGCAGATCTTGACTTTCCAAAAACAGATTTGCTAGTTGGGGACTTCTGGTCCCACTGCAACCAACTGCTTGTATCAGTGAGTGAGCTAATTTTCTTTGATTTGTTAGTGACAAGAATTGGTGTAATCAGTAATAATGACAGGCATATGCAGTGTAAGATGCATATAGCACGTCACAGATTGCAGTGCCTTGAAGAACAGTCTAAAAATCCATGACTTTAGAGTCCTAATGTTGGCTTAAATTAGATTTAGATGTAGGCTAAACCCTAATGTAGGTTCTCTGTAACATTTGTCTCTTAAGGTAAGACGCTTCGTCTCTCTGCCTGTTTGATTTATGATAGATTAGGATGTCGGTTAATCTCTTATTTGGCTAGATGACTGTGGAGATTAATCAAGTATTGTCTGCAAAAGGAACCCATAAATACAGATTACTAATTTTCCTTTAATTATTCCTCTGTATGCCAGAGGGATACAGGGGGAGCACAGACACATATAGACACCAGCCTCTTAAATCTCATTTCATGAGAGAAATGGAAAAACCACAGCAGCTGCTCTGGCTGATACTGGTTTTCTTTGACATGCTCAGTTCAGTTTCCTGGAAAAGGCAAAAAGCCACAGAAATCATAGATTATGGTCTCCTGTGAGAGAACGGGGAAGCAGAAAGTGGTTCCGAGCGAGTGAATCTGCTTGGCTGGTATAGCACCATCTCTGTTTCCACAGGACATGGAGAAAGCAGCATTTCTTATGGGAAAAGCTATCCTGAACAAATACAGAAACACATATTGAAACAAACTGAAACAACAATGTGCTGTGAATACTGGAAAACAGACCAGCATGGAAGAAAGACATTGAAAAGCACGATCTTTGAACGTGAGGCGGAGACACCTATTCTGTTAGGGCCTCTGCTGAGATGGTTGCACCATTTACCTTCCAAGGGCATTTGTACAAAGATGTTATTTTTCCACTTGTCCTCTGTTGACAGCTGCAGTTTCCTGCCTTTGAGCTTGTAAATTTTTCAATTTTTCTTCCTACCTTTTCCAATGTGCTGCTCTTTTGGGGTTGGTAGCCCAGTCCAAACATAGCCATAAAGTAGTAAATATTTATTGTGCACAGTTTAAACGCCTTTTAGTAAATTCACGCTTGCACAGCTTGACAGAAGGCAAATAGTGACAGGGCATAGGCATACTCCCTGGGTATTAAGAAACCTACTTTAAATGGCTGAGAGCGCCTGAACCATAGATGATACTAGTGCTGGTAGGCTTACCTGATGCTAAAATACACAGATGAGTATTTCTAAAATAGTCAAGAGTAGCGAACAAAGAGACCTCAGGTGTACAGCACCTGATAGGGAGCACATTTAGTGCCTTAGAAAGAGACCCTGGGGATTCTGCCCAAGTGACAAACACCAGTTGCTATAGAGATATCTGTCCTCTTCAAATACAGATAGATCGCTCCAGGATGCAGTGAAGTTTCAGTGAATCTCAGTGCAGACAGTCAACCATCTCCTACTGTCCCTGTCAGAGTAGCTGAAATTTTCCCAGGCTTTCCTTAAAAGAAGGAGCAAGCCAGCTTTCTGGAGATAGGCACCACTGGCTGGTGTTCATTGCCATTAGTCATCTCCTCTCTAACGAGCAGTCTCTGCTGAGGAGAACTCAGGGAGTGCAGATAGCAGCGTGAGCTTCAGTGCAGATACATGCCGGGATCTTCTCTGTGGGAAGATGGTTCCTCTTTCTTTCCAGCCCTCCAGCCTGGTCTGAATCTTCAGCTCAGGTTTTTTCAGGTAAATAAGCTGAAAAGTCTTGAAGCTGCTGAATGCATCAGGCGCTCTCTCTGCTAGAGTCTGCAAAGTGTTACAATGCGGTGAGACTACTGTGCTTAGCAGAGAAGCTGTAAGCTTGCAGCTTCATTTGAAAGTGAAGATGCCTTTAATCTGCTGCATTTTATAATACAGCTTTATTCTGTCAATTTGCACTTAGAACATGTCAGAGATGGCAGAATTCTGCATTAGTTCAGGAACTAATGGCATTTGCAGTGAAGCCAAATTCAGCCTAGGCACTACTGTGCAATAATAGCTCAGCGCAGCGCAATGCCTGTCTGCACACAAGTCAGCAAAGTTTGCAGGCTTTCTTGAAACCCTGGGCAACACACATTTGATTCCCATCCACCACTGTAACAGCAATATTTGTGAAGAACTTCTCTTCTTGGACAATATCCAAATATTTCCCACTTCCTCTGCCTACTGGGACACAGTTGCCAGACTGAGCTCCTAAAGTGGTAACTGGCAGTGGGTAGCAATGACTCAGATTTTCAGGAATTACAAAACTCAGTTTCCCCTTCTTCTGAAAATCGTTCACTCTGTCTCCATTTTTAAATAAGAAAACATAGGCTTAGATGGGCTTTCAGCTCCACAAAAAGTGCCTTCCAAAGAAAGAAAATACTGGAGCATCTCCTCCAGTAGGAGATAACGTGATGAATATGCTGTTTGGACAGTGAGGTGTTTCCAGCCTAAGCAAATAGGTCAGCATTTACAGAAACTGTTACAGCTGCAGTTTCTGGAAGGAATGTATGAGAACTGCATACAATCTGAAATTAGTGGGCATATAAGGACATAGCTAGTGTTAAGGTTTTACCTACAACACCCGTCCAAGTTGTGGTAGACCTCATGTATTTTCAGGAACAGTTTTGGGATGAAGGATGTGACATGTGACTGGATTTTCACCAAAAGACAGGATTAGAAGTTCAACCCACTCTCTCACTGTAAAGTTTGGAATTCACATGAGCTGGAGTGTAAAGCGATACAAGGATTTCCCGTAACTACTGCAACCTTGGTGAGAGCTAATGAATTATTCCAAGGGTATTACACTGAGAGTGCTTGCTCCCTGTTGGACAGCAGTGGAGACATGATAATTCCTAACCCAAGGGAGCCCTTTCCTCATCTGACACTGGCACAGACTTCATTAGCGATCACTTTTCACTTAGAACAGTCCCAAGGAAAGCTGCAGATACAGCCGTTCCCCGTCCTAATTTTAGCATTCCCTCTTGTACTACTTTATCACATGATTATGCAGTGCCATGAATGTTTACATTGATTTCAGGAAGATAATATTCCAGTTCTGAAGAAATTATAAAACATATAAACATAACATAACATATAAAACATAAAAACATATAAAACATATGCAATGAGAAAAATGTCCTTTATATTCCCCATGTCTTTTAATTTTGCAGGTGTGAAAAGTATCAATGAATATAAGACCTGTGTATCAGTGAACAGAAGAGGGTGCATGCATGTGGGCACTGGGAGTGAGCACTCATGCTTGTGTTCGTGTGCATATATGTGCCTACCTTTTCTCCTACTTGCTTTGTCTTCTTAATGTATCTTAAATGTACCTAGTTTGTTGTTTGATTTACTTCAGTGAATATGTCACTTAAAAGGTGTCACAAAGATTTTTCTAGAAAGTGGTAATCTCTCTTGTAAAAAGCACAGCAGGGGAAGCGGCCATAAAAATGTCACAGACTTGACTCTGTATGAAAAGATTCCCTGTGGGTAGAATTGCCTTTTGTTGTGGCTATTTATCACTGCTGAGATGGCCAACAGTGTGGCCGAGCGGTCGTAAAATAGGACGGAGGATTTGCCGCAGTAAGGTGTAAGAAAGAAATACATTTTTCTGGATCAATGCTGCTGTATTGTATTCTATAACTATGCAATCCAAAATTTCCAGATCCAGAGTTTTCATATTAGCAAATACAAACACAGTGTGACAATCCAGTATAGAACCTTGAAAATGCACTCACAATGGTAATGTAGTAACGTGGGCACAGGCCTGCAGACATCTGGAAACCACAGTTTTACAAGACTTAACCACAACGTCATCTATATGAAACTCAACACGCATTAGATGATAGCAACACAAACTGCATTTTCGCTGAAAGGTCTAACATGACACAGAGACAAAGTAAAAACCCAGCTCCAAATTCCTAACTTCTAGTGTGCTGCACAAATCCTTCCATGCAGACATGGCTACAGAGAGAGACCCTCCTGGAGAAAGCGCACCCAGAAGTGCAGGCCTTCTGTCAGAAGCACGGCCTAATGTTTGAGGTAAATCACTTCTCTCCTGTCTATCCTGTCTAAAGGCCATCAAAATATGGGGGATGGAGGAAAAAAAACCCAAAATGCTCATAGGTTTTTCCATCTCCTTAGAAGCCTCCTAGGAGTCAAATACTGCTGTACCAATTTCCTAGAACTTCTGGATAAAATATATTTGCATGCTTGAGTTGTATGGATTTCAGTGCAGAGTTAGGTGGCTAATCATCTTCAAGCACCTGGACATGAGAGTTTACATCATCGTTTCTATATTCAATTGGAAAAAAAATTCCATGTATAAATTCCACTGGATATACTTCAGGGATAGTTGAACTAGTCCTAATAATACTAATTTGCACAGAACTTCTAGCATAAAAGGGCCTATTGAAATGTGGCGGATCCTTATATTCTATGATAGAAGATAGGCTTGAAATGTTGCAGCAAATAACCTACAGTCTTGAGGTTCCTTGTCCTGAAAGACTAAGTCGCTTACTTGGTCATCCATGGTCCAAATCCCTAAATCTTTCACAGGAGAAATCCCTACTGAGAGATTTTGAATATCTCAGCATCTCTTGCAGAGTTCCAGTAATTAAAGTTGCATACCACTAGTGTTCAGACTGATCTCAAAATTAAACATGATAGAATGACTTAATTTTCCCATGTCACTGTTTTTATTATAGTATTGACTAGTCTAAGAATCTTAAAAAAAAATTTTTTTGTGCGGGTAATTGACTTGAGATGGGGTATTTCTGAGCTTGTAGACCCTGATCACAGAAACACAACTCTCTCTGGAGGAAATTGAAGCCTGCCAGAAACTGTCAGCTGCTCCCACCCTCATTGTAAGTGCTAGCACTGCAGTGCATACTCAATCCCTATGGCTAAAGGGAGACGTACAGGGCAGGCCACACACGCTCAGCTCTACTGGACAAGTAAGGTGGTTTTCAAAAGTAGTTAGCCTGCCTGAGCAGCTTCACAAATCAGCTAGCTGATGGGGCTGAGATGTCAGTAACTGCCAGTAGTCCCTAAAAGACAAAAGGAGCCTGAACAGGCACAAGGAAAGGAGCCCTGAACACAGAGTCTCTTCAGAGCAGAAGATAACAGGGGTTGTGTGTATTAACTAGCAGATAGAAGAGGTAGACGGAGGTACACATAAGGTAAGAAGCTCTGGCTCTGAGCTTGCTTCCTGCCCAATACCTCAATATTGAGGAGGTTTTCTCAGTAACTAAGGAATAAATACAAATTCCCCATGCAAAGAACCAGAAATGAAAATGCCATAGCAAACACCACGGACAGAGCAGGGTGTCACACTGCAAGCTGATACCTGTTCCATGCTTCTGCCCTACTCAAATCCCTCTGATCACACCTTCTAACCACTGAAAGCTCCACACGGCAGCAGCCCATCTCACCTTCCTTGAAGCACTTTGGTGACAGCTCCGAACAGAAACCCACACCGAGAACTTTAAGCCTTGCAGAAAGGGAGAGGAGGCTGAGACATCTGCAGAAGTGCCAAGTTGCTTCCTCAGGTTGTTTTGGTTTTAGAAAGGGAGAAAGAAAGTTTTGCTGAACAAAGACAATAAATATGCAGTCCCAGGGAGCATAATTGAAGCCACAAGTACATAAATAACCAATTAAGTATTTGTGCAAGTTGTGCCTGATTTCCCCTGAGCCACTTCCACCAGAGGCCAGCAACAGAGAGGCAGAGACCACAAGAGCCTCACCACAGCGTTACTGCACCCATGAACTCACCATCTCTGAGCAACCTGCAGCTCACACCTCTGTTAGCAGCGCCATATCGCATATGCAGATGGCACCCAGGCAGTGTCTTCCTCAGACTGGTTCTCAGCGTGTACCTAGAAATCTCAGTAGAGCCAGCCACAAAGGTTCGACTACTCCCCCTCCCTTTTACACACACCAGAAGGGCACTGCCTAACGATTACACAGTGGGTTTGCGCTTTGAGCTCATTCTGGTTGTTTCCAGACTGCATGGATACTGGATGTTGACCCTTTTCAGGATCTCCTTCCCTGGCCCAGTCAGATCAAAAGTCCCCAGGCTCAGTCCTGTTCCCTTAGTTCTTCTCCACGCCAAAGCCAATCTTACAGCACTGTTGGCCAAAGTCCTCAAACTGATACTGCTCTGTGCTTCCACTGCCTCACCTCCATCACTCTCCCCCTGCCCCAGACACACTGAAAAGGCCTGAGGAGCAGCTGCTGTAAAGCCACTTCTCCCTGACCATGGGGCAGGCTGGGACTCTGCTTAGCTGTCCCCATCCAACACGGAAGCCACAAGGGCGCTGTGGTTACCAGAAAGTTTTCTGAGCAGCCTTCCCTGGCAATCCGAGGTGCTAAGGCAAGCAGCCAGTCCACATCCCAGCTGTCACTGCAGTAGCAGTGCCTGAATGCCGGACCTTTTTTGCCTGTTGCAGGGACTCCTGAGGGACCACTGTGCGCACCAGACTGTGCCTCGGCTCATTGCGGAGAAGGAATTTGAGGCCCTAACTCTGCAGCTGTCAGGAGACTCTGCCCAGCTCCTGACACAGTGGTACTGGTGGGATGAGAACGTGCTGCCCACCTGCTATGTGCTGCAGCCGGCTGATGGGCAGGCCTGGCATTGCTTGGCCTCGGCGCTGCGCGTGGCAGCCCAGAAGGCAGAGAGGTGTGGGCTGCTCGGCCCAGAGCAGAGGCACTGCTACCACAAATCAGGAGTGTTCTGGCAGGGCTGTAACGTCTCCTAACCAGAGCTGTCAGGGAGGATAGCTGTTTGTTTCAAGACAACATCAGATTGTATACAACAGGAAAGATGCAGGGAAGGAAGAGACTTGCTAACTATCTGCCGTATCCCAAATCCTGAGGAGGGAGGTTGGTGCTGACTAGCAAACAATAAACACCAGATACAAATATTTCTCCTTTTTTCCCCAATCTCCCTGACCACGTCCAAGAGTATGCCTAGCTCAGAGGACATGGGGAATGCTGACCTGCTAGCATCACGTGAAATACAGAAGGACCAAGGGATGTCACATTCATGTTGATGGATGGCTTTTCCTGTGTTCTGTTCTGAAACTGAATGCTCACATCTCCCCCCATTTTTTTTTTGTTTGTTTGTAGCAATTGAATGGGAGATTGAACAGGGTCTCCTCAATACCCAGGAGAGCAACCCAGGGGCTTTCATATTCCTCAGAGAGGTTGAGGATTCCAACAGACAAATTGGGCAAGGGACAAACTGTCCCTTGCTGAAAGAGGACAGTGAAGCAAAACAGCTGCCCAGCAAGCTTAAAGCAAAAATTGCAAGCCATTATCCCAAACACCTCAAAGTACACGCACTGGCATACAGTAAAGACTCTGGGAACCCTCAGCGCAAGGAGAATAACAAATACCTGAAAGAACTTTGTGAGCAGTTCACTGCTGTCACTAATCACCAGGTTTTAGAGAATCTTTGATGCCGAGGACAGATCAGCGAGGAGCCAAGGCGACTTCTGCAGGGGCTGGGGCACCACACAGCTCTGTGCCTGAAGAACTGCAGATTTTTCTGTGGGAGACAGAATTTATTGGATAACATTTTTCACTGTATTAAGCAGAACAATGATAAAATCCACACAGCCCTCATCCTTTCTGGGCCACCAGGCTGTGGAAAAACAGCTGTGATGTGCAAGCTATCTGAGCAGGTGCAAGCTGTTTTAGGGCAAGACAGCGTAGTTGTGATTTGTTTGCTGGGGACATCCCAGCTCAGTTCTGCCATTCACAGCCTGCTGAAGGACATTTGTCTCCAAGTGTGTTTAGCATTTGATTTGCCACCTCCTCCAACCCAGACCAAACAAGCTTGCAGTGATTTAGTCTTGTTCCTCAGTAAACTCTTCCTCACTGTCTCCCATTGTGGCACACAGACACTGGTGGTGTTCCTTGACTTCGTGGAGAGATTACTTCCTGGTGATGGTGCTCACAGATTCCACTGGCTCCCTATAGACTGCCCTCCAAAGGTCCACATCATCACTTCCATTTCCACAGCAGAGCCTGATACTCTGAAAGCTCTCCAACACACTGTGCCTGAGGCTGAAGCGAACTTTGAAGTAGGACTCTTATCCAGTGAGGAACGTGAGGAGATGCTAGAGATGCTCTTAGCGTTAGGTGACAGCTAAGCCCAGCTCAATGGGCCTATTTCCATCAGAGCTTCCCTAGTGGTGGGCAAGCCCTGCTCTTCAAGCTGGCCTTCCATGAGGCCAGAAAATGGGTGTCTTACACTTCACCTTCTGAACTACTGATTGCTAGCACAGCCCAGGACGCCATGCACCGTCTGTGCTAGAGACTGGAAAAGTCACACAGCACAGTTCTTGTGGCTCATGTCCTTGGCTATATTGCTTCCTTACAGTGAGTACTGCTGTATCTCTGATGGAACAGCCCGTATTTCCTGCTGTTCATAGGGAATCTGTCTAAATACAGCCCAAACCAGTCAAAGCTCTCAGTTCTTTGAGCCTATGAATGTGTTCATACATACATTTAGCAAGCATAACATTCCTCTCATACCTGGCAGCCTACCTAAACTATTGTCTTGAAGGGAGATATTCTGGGATTACCTAGAAAAGGAAATTGATCTCCATGGCTTATCCAGGGTCTAAGCTCTCAGCTGAGACTGCCATGTGTGCATGTGAGCTAGTGAGATTTTTAGTGACTAGTACTTTTGAACTGCCAGAAAAACCACTCACCCTCCCACTACGGATATCAGTGTAAACGGTACGGAGCATAAATAATTTCCTTTCATATATCACACTTCACTTGCAGAAATGGGCTGTCAGACATGGAGCTGAAGGACATTTTGTCCCTTGACGATGAAGTCCTCTCAAAGATTCACCACTGCCACCTTTCTTCAAGTAGAACTATCCTGCGCCTTCCTCCTCTCCACTGGGCACGGCTACGCAGTGACATGAGAGAGTGCCTGGCAGAACAGAAGGCAGATGGCTTCACCCTTCTTTGCTTTGCACACAGGTACTCTTAGAGGGCAGAGAATGAGAAGCCAAATCTCTGAGTATGGGATGTTCCTGTCCTGGGCTTTTGGGCACCCTGCCTAGACTCCTCTCTATTCTTAAACTCTGTCAGTGCTGAGACTCTAGGAAAAAAAAACAGCTCTAGCTCCCTGTTCCACTACATCTATTACTTTTTCACTTCCCAGGCAATTTGTTGAAATGGTGCAGAATCGTTACCTATCAAAACAAGACCAAATCAAGAGGCATTTTCTCCTGGCAGATTTCTTCAAGGGAACTTGGATCTTGGGAATGAAGAAACCTTTTACATTGCCACATTTTAGCAGGACTTTTAATGCCGACAGGAAGGTGAGGAATATCAGCAGGCATTTCCATACCTGTAAGCTCTGGACCAGGGCTCTGTGTCTACAGACTGCTGGACAGGGTCTGAAATCAGAAGACAATGGAAATAATAGTAAATAACACTATTCAGTGCTTTCAACAATGACAAAGATTTTTTTTTTTAAACAGGTATTTCCAACCAAGGAGATCTAAAGTCATTTTACAAACTTTGTCATGTAGTTTTCATATATGTAAAAGGCTACTGCAACAAGGAAGGAATTAATTTATTATTCACATCTGCAGAAAGGCAGCCTGCCTTAGACTGTAGCAAGAGAAATTTAGAATCATGAAAAACATTTCCTACTAACAGGAAAACAATGAAAGTCCTGGAAGTGCTGTCTGGCATACCATAAGATAGCATCTAGCACTGAAGTTGTGAAAGCAAACAGATTAATCCACAAGTCATGTCTCAAATCCACTGTTCCGGCTACTCCCAGGCAGCCCCTCAGCCACTCTGGTTCTCTGATGCTGTTGCAATCCGAGGAAGTTGAGTGAATTGCCATTTCATTTACTTAATGCTGGACGAATTGAGGAGCTGAAATGGGATGTGCTGGGTAATGACTGGGCAAGGGGGGGTATACAGTGCTCTGCAGAGGCGTGCTTCATGCCTACAGCCACAGGTAAGAATCACAACCTTTCTGCACAGCATCAATAACCACTGTGAGAAGGAAGCTTGAAAAAGAGAAATAAGCTAACTTTTACAAACTGTTATCCTAGAATTATCACCACAGTCCTTTAGTAGCTGAAATAAATTATCTAGATCCTCCAAAGACTGAGAACAAAACATATTAAAAAATCTAAAAAATAGAAAAAAAAATACATAGAGCATTTAAGAGGCTAAAGAAGGACCTCTGACAACGGGAGCCCTCCACTTCCTCAGCAAATGAGTCTTAGTTCCACAGCTAGTGGCTGTTAAACCTTCTATCCCCTCCTTCCCCAAAAAAGCATTTTTTAATCTCAGTTTTTTTCAGAATACCTGTGCATTCTCAGGGCTGATGTTCTCTGTTCTAACAGTACTTCTTTCTGCAGGGAATATGAACTGGATCAGCTGTAAAATAATTGCCTCTGGAATAGAGAGTGTTGTTGATGACTTTGCCATATGTACTGAATGCATCAGCTGTCCAAAACTACACCTTGTGCAGGACACACTTCTCCTTTTGAAGCCAGCAGTCAGCAGTATACACAGCCCTGAAGGTAACAGCTATGTCAGAGTGACAGAGCGTGACACAAATGTTTACCAGAGGAAAGAATTGGAATCTTCTTTTCCAAGTAAAAGTACTTTTCTGAGGAATTACAACCAGTGACAAAATTCTCTGTTCTGGGATCCATCAAAAGACTCATAAATGCCTCATTCTGGTAGGGCCTCTGTGTGAGCAGCTGAGGTTTCTTCTTTGCCAACAGACATTTTGTCTATTTGAGTATAGTTTACCACAACCAAAGCGCCTGTTGCCCCGTGCCTAGCAGAAGCACCTGTTAGCTATATGGATTCCCTTGCAGCTTTAAAGCTAACTAGAGGAGAGGGTACACAGTGCTGCTCCTCTGTCTTCTCCTCAGAACACCCACTCCTGCCTCAGGGGAAAAATTCTGCTGCACCATTACATCTGCCCATGTTTTACACTGTAGCCTTCCTTATATCATTCAAGTGCCTGGCCAGGTAAGGCCAGCTCAGTTCATTACATACTGTACATCACAACATAAAATACAACTATGGTAGCTCTCACAGGCCCACCACAGTCATGTTCTAAAACGCTTTTTTGTCTCTGCCCTCTTAGGAGTGAGTAAAATATACGCAGAAGTGTTGGCCAGGCTTCTTTTTTTCATGCCTTCTTACGCGGAGGTAATCGGGAAGCTGTGCCAGCAGCGTCTAAGCTGGTGCAGTGTCTGTCCCTATCCTGTTCTCAGTCCACTGTGCGGATTTCTCCAGCCACCTGGTGGGCTCCTACACACAACGCTCACCGGATTCCTCAAAGATAGGATTAGTCCTGGGGACAGATACAGCCCAATAATATCTCTAATCATCCATCTATTATGAATGAGATCCAAGAAACATAATAAATACACAGAGCAAGAAGGAGAGAACATCTATTTCTGTAGAAATACAGTTTTGCCTGTGAGCTTACACAAAGGCAGGATAAAGGTCCATTTGCCTTTGTGCTCAGTCTTGCACCAGTCCCATTCGCAATTGCTTCAACGAATGAGGATAAAGTGGGTCATTTTGTCGTCAGGACAACAAAAGCACACACTGACCTAGATATGTCTGAGGGAACCTAATCTTGCTCTTGGCACAGACTACGGGGTTCAGACAGTATATGGGGGGGGTCCAGTTGGGGAAACATAGCATATTAACAATCTCAAAATGTCTCTCTTCTGTCTGTGGTATCAAGAACAGCCTTTCCTCTTTGTATCTCATGGCAGGTGTCACAGTGATGGCATTTAGTTCTGATTACTGGCTGGCAGTGGCAGGTTCCCAGGACAGCTCAATGCTTGTCTGGAATATGGAAGTTTTTGAGAGGCTGATCGCCCTTCCTGGGCACTCCAGTGAGCCTTCTTCACTTTTTATGGTTGGAAAGCTCTTTTCATGTCTGAAAAGAGCTCTGACAGCTTGGGGATCCTTGAGCTGTAGGCACACAGACACCTCCCAGCTGCCAGCATTCTCCCAATTGCTGAAAGCTCTGAAAATCCCTCATTCTGTGAATCCTCGTCTTATTTTATAGCTGAGGTGACATGCGTGAAAGTGTGTGGAAAAGGAACCTGTGCTGTTTCAGCTGCCATGCACAGTCTGTGCATCTGGAATTCGATTTCTGCCAGAGCAAGGTTTATTATCCAGGATACGCATATCGAAGAACAGCCCTCACATCACCTTCACGTTGATAAGGGGCCATGATTCTATATTCTTCCTCAGATACAAAGGTATGGCCAGTCTCTAACTTAAAGCGTGCTGAAAGAACAAGAACTTTAGAAGTTACAGCCACAATCACAAAGGTTGTAGACAGAAAAGCTACCTCAGTCCTCGCTACTCCTACTTCTTTTGCCACCTCTTTACTAGGTCAATGCTTGGCACCTGGAGACATCAAAACTCATCTTCCAGATTTCTGGAGAGGCGTAAGATGCATGGATGGATGTGTTCTGCAGTATTCAGCCCAAGGCTGGTGATTATGACTGTGTCTGAAGGAGGAACACTTTGAGTCTGTGGAACAGCAACACCAGTGAGCTGAGATCCAAATGTCAGCTATCATGACTACATAAAGAAACACCAACATCCAGTGTTCTGATCCAGAAGCAAGGGAAGATGATAATGGGATTTAGCACATGGGATCTCTATCCATGGTACACATCCATCTGTTCAACTTTCTTATAATATTGCTTTTATTTTCTTATAATATCCAGAGGTTTACTGAGCCAGACAACAGATCTGGTAACCAACGGGCTCTCCTTCTCCATTCTGAATAGAGCATCCTCCTCAGACTTCCATATCCTAGTTCCCAAATGGACAAGCATAACACTTTCTACGCTTCTGCATCTTATAGCTCTGCCCAATACCATGCGGCCAAATTAAATTTCACTGCCAATCTATCCTCTCTCCTTCATGAAAGAGGCAGCTCAGCTATCCTAGCTTCAGGTCTTACTCTTGCCTTTTTTTTGCGCAGATCTCTTCTGATAGAGTTTGCTAGAGAAGCTTCCTGGAAGGGTTTGCTTTGTGGTGGCATCAGAAGATGAATCCATTCTGGCTGCAGGTTCAATAGCACCCGTTCCTTAGGAAAGTTTGGTAATAGCTGCTCTCCCACATGCCAAGTGTCCTTTAAAAAGGGCCAGCATGTGGAATTTCCCATTAGCCTGGCCTTATTAAACTATTGTGCCTAAGGGGGTAACAAAGATTGGGTGAAATTCTCTTTGTGAATAGTCAGAACATTGCCTGTGTACCAGGAGCCCTTTCTCAAGGGAATAAGTGAGATCTAAGTAGTGAAAAGGACTTAAGTTGGCATGATTATTTTTTAGGGTTTCTAAGCCACCCTTTGGCCTTACCTTTAAAGAAGTATAGGAATTAAATGGTATGCATAAGGACATGGAGTTGAAGGGGATTAGAGACTTCCTCAGCTCAACAAATCAGTAACTAACATTTTATTGTTTTAAGCTTTGAGGAGTACGTGCAAGTGTACCTGGCAGACCCAAAGGGATTCCACAGGCTCCTAGTGGCAGATTTGGAACATGAAGGAGTGGTTCATACGGCTGTTATCTCTGCTGGCAACAGCATTATTGTTACGGGTTCTCAGGCTGCATCTGTCCTGGTAGGGAGGGAGGAAGGCTGGGCACCTTCCCAATCAGAAGCACCTCTTACAAATCCAGCTTACAGAATGCGCCCCGATCTAGTAAAGGGGTCGTTTTGATCCCCAGCAACCTGTCTGGGGGTTGGATTTGCAGTTCTGAACATGTTTCCAATACTGCCACACTTCTAAAAAGAAGATGACCATTGACCCTTCTCTTTATTGCCTCAAGCCTTTCTGTTCTCCTTTTATTTTTGACACTGAATGGAGAGCACTTTATCAATTCAGAGGGTCAGCCTCAAGCCAGTGTAAGCCCGCGGCCTGAAATACTATTTCATTTATGAAATGTTTTAAATTTGAACTCCTAAAAGCTGCCTTGTGAGCAGGAGCCAGATGGAATGAATACACAACATCTGGAGGACCATCTCTTGCCAAAGAAAAAGGTAAATAGCCAGCACAGTTCAAAATGTGCAGGATCTATTTAGGCATCTTTCAAAGCAAAGGAAGCAAGGGGGCTGAATGGCTCCAGGTGCTTCAAACATTTGTTTTAGAGTACAAAGGCAATGTTTTGCCTTCTAGTATTAGGATGTTATCCTTTGACTTTACTTATGTTTCTGTACAAGTTAGTTAAGGTAAATTGTTTTACTGCTTAAACAGGACTAAGGAATAAAGCAGCTCAGGCACTGATGACTTCTCCCCACCCCAGCTTTTCCCAGGTGTGGAGTTTATCAGACCAGGGGTTGCTGCCTGACATACTGGATGGCATGGGAGCACCAGTAACACTCTTGGCCCTGTGCGACTGCACTCTGGTTTCTGCCTCCCAAAGTGCACCGTCTCTAGGAGTGTGGAACCTCATTTACAATCATCAGCAGAAAACCTTGGCACCTGTCCGAAATACAGGCTGCGCTGCACTGTCCCATGGGGGGAACTATGTCTATTTTACCAAGCCTGAAGACACACATAAAGCCGTCATTTGGGACACCACAGAAGGTGAACTGCATCTCAGAAATACTGCATTAAATTAAGCCTGCATATGGGGTAGGATAGAAACTAAACAACTCATAGAGGCAGCAAAGGTAGGGTTAGCTTTCTGAGCACATGACAAGCATAGTCTGCTCCTTTCTGCTTTTTCTAAGCGTGAGATTCAGGAAAATTTGTTTCAGGCTTGGAGAGCTTTTTAATCTCCTCTCCAAAGTTTTTTTCTAGAATAGCTTATTATTATGACATGGGAAAACTGGAAATATGAATAATATGCGAATTATTTCACAAATAAAGAAGCCAATCATGAGCCCCATCTGAGGGAAGACATTCGCATGCAGTTGGAGTAAGAACAGTCCTGCTGATTTCCTTCTGTTTCACAGGTGAAGTGTGTGACACACTGGACACCTCTGCCCGAGTGAGATGCCTGGAAATATCTGAGCAAAACCAGCTCCTTTTCACAGGGCTTATATCTGGAACAGTCCTTGACGTTCTACTGAACTCCAGGCAGGATGTAGCGTGCATCTCACCCCCAGAGTAACAGAAACCAGTCAACGACATGGCAATCAACAAGCAGGAAAAGCAGCTTGCCATAACATACGATGATTTAGTCCTTGTGCTAGGTATTATCCCTGCAGATCCATGCCCAGTGATCAACAGGCCCGCCTACACCTTTAAAACTCAGATCCCTGGCTCTCTGATTTCCAGAGCGGCTGTCCTTGCAGATTACAGAGTCCTCTACAGCGTGACTAGCAGGGACTTATTCCTTTATGACTGCCTTCGGGCCCAAGTGTTTCCTTTGGAAGGTCACAGAAGCCAGATCACCTGTTTGGAAAGCAGCCACGGAGAGCAGTGTGCACTCAGTGGATCTGAAGATTCCCTGCAGTGCCTCTGGGACTTGGAGTTCTATCAGCTAGCAGGAACACGAGATGTGCTATTATAAGGTACTACAATGGTAAGATTGTCAATAGTCGTTTACCGCCCTGAGCTGTCAGGGAAGATCCAACTGACAGGATTCCCAGCTCTCAAAGAGAATACCCAAATCCTGTACGTAGCTGTTCAGACTGACAGGCAGCAAACTATTCTCAGCAGCTAGGTCTGATTTTAAAGCATCCTTACATCTAGATACACTATCAAGGTGTCAATGCTGTCTAAGTGAATGAGTGCTGTTAACACCACTCTGACACTAAACATAAGTCATAGGAGTTATTTATTTACAGCTTATTACTGCTCATTTAGCTGGTGTAAGCTAGATGACACAAATCAGTGAAAAGAATGAGACTTCACAAGTTAACAATAGCAACAGAAGGGGTAAATTGGGCTAGCTCAGGAGAATCCAGCAGGGAAAAAAACAGTGATGGAGGAGGCTGGATTAATGCTGTTACTCTTTCACCTGACAAGACACCACGCACGCATCTGAGCTACTGCTTTCCATAGGTGGAATAACGGGCTTTTGTACAGCCATACTAGGCTGTCTTCCCTGCACAGCTATAGAGTGCTTCAGAAGCTAGGGGCTTTATTTTGTGATACCTCCCACCCTTCTTCCAGGATCGCTCTTGTAAAAATCTTTATTTATTACCTTTATTCTTAAGCATTGAATAACCACTGAATACTCGAATGCATCTTCACCTCAACCTGTATTTACCAGCGTAACAATCTAACCCTAATCATCCATTTTCAGCCTACATCTCTCCTGAAAGGCATTTGCTGTGCTTGCTTCTCAAAAGATGATAAGTACTTGTACACTGGATCGCTGGATCAGTCCATTACAGTCCAGAATGTTGCAAGTGGTGAGTAATTGTGAAATGCCAGCAACCTCGAGAGTCTGTACTCCTTCCTGTATCAAACAGGCTTGTAGCATCCTTCACGTTGTAAGAAGGGAAACGTGCCATACAGCAACAGTGTGTGCAAGTATCAGAACAGAGGCTAGAATACCGAATCCAGAGGTAGCGTATTAACATTGTGACTGGAAGCTGCAATTGCAAGACTGCAGCTGGAGTATTCCAGTACATAGTAGAGAAAAATATTCGGGGTTCAAATATCAGCAGCAAGTTTAACGGCAAAGCAAGAAAGGTTTCTCTAAGTTTCTATTATGCAAATCATCTATAATGCTCTAAGGAGAAACAAGCAGCATGGCTTATTTTTTCTCCCTCCTCCTTGCTCTTCATGTGACCCAGTTTTACTGAGTTCAAATCATCTGGTGACGAGGGACCATTTGAGGGAAGTGGCATATTTTAAGTCCAATCCAGTAAATGCTTTATTCTGAGCTTGGTTTCCACAGGTGCCTTGCTGGCTGTACGTGTGTATACACAACTGCTAACAGAATTGTACCAACTGCAGATGGATTGTTGCAATAACGAAAGTTGGTTATGTAATTTGTGAAAAGTTTCACTGTCCTAAGACCACCCCTCCTCGGTATAACCCACTCCAGAACATCGTAGCAACGTGTACAGTAAAATCCAGAAAGAAAGACAGGAAAAATTCAAGCAAGCAACAGTACAACCAAGTAAATTCTTCCAGGAGCCTGATTCATACCAGCAAGCTCTCTCAAATCTTTTCAGTGGTGTCAAAAGCAAAGATGAATAGGATAAACGTGCATAAACACCCAGAATTGAGCTTGTGGTTTTCTCTTTCTACCCTTTTGCCTTCGTGTCTCAAAATTACGATATTAAACATCTCTGAAAACTCCTTTGCTGGGGTGGTTTAGTCTATTAATATCTTGGCACAATACTACCATAGTAATAACCACGTAAGATAAATACGAAAAAACAAAAACAAAAAACAACCCTAAACCCACATTTTGTCCAACTACACCAGACCAGGCGTTGGAGCTCGGTGCCGACCACTGATGGCAGCCCGGCCGGAGC